CGTGAGATACGAACAGCACAAGCCCGCGATTAGCTGCGACCTTCCGCGAAAAAGCAGAGCGCAAGTTCCGTTCCGATCCAGAGGTCCAGACTGTTCCCGAGTTTTCCCCCTGTCCTCTCCTCCCGAGTCCCGGCGAAGCAGGCGAGCATGTGTCCCACCGGCAAGTACCTGGGGATCGACCTCTCCGCCGCCGCCGTCTCCGGCGCTGGCGGCGACCTGAGGCCGGCGTTCGACGTGCTTGACGCGGACCGGGACGGCCGCATCAGCCGGGAGGACCTCAAGTCCTTCTACGCCGCCGCGGGGCCCGCCGCCGGCGAGCAGCGGTTCGACGACGACGACCTCGCGGCCATGATCGCGGCCGCCGACGCCGACCGCGACGGCTTCGTGCAGTACGACGAGTTCGAGCGCCTGCTGGCCGGCCGCGCCGCGGGAGGCGCCGGGCGCCGCTCCGCCATGGAGGACGCCTTCCGGCTCATGGACCGGGACGGGGACGGCAAGGTCGGGTTCGAGGACCTCAAGGACTACCTCGGCTGGGCTGGGATGCCCGCGGCGGACGACGAGGTCCGCGCCATGATCCGCGTCGCTGGCGGAGGGGACGGCGGCGACGAAGGCGTGGTGCTCGAGGCGCTCGCCAGAGTGCTCGCGGTCGACTTGGAAGGCATCGCCCTTTGAGAGCTCCGTAGGCCTGTTCGGGTGGCCGGTTCCTTTTGTTTGCGATTGGCAGGAATAACTGTTGTCTGGTTTGTGTACGAGAAAAATATTGTTTTGATTGTAAATTTACGCTGTGTTTAGTTCCCCTCTAAATTTTCAAAAATTGCTACAGTATTCATTACATCGAATCTTGTGATATGTGTATGGAGTATTAAATATAGATGAAAAAAAACTAATTGTACAGTTTGATGGGAAATTACGAGACGAACGTTTTGAGCCTAATTAGTCTATGATTGAACACTAATTGCTAAATAAAAACGAAAATAATATAGTAGCCCAAATTCTAAACTTCACTCAACTAAACACGGGTTTACGATCACTTATGACAAGCCAAAGCCAAACAAACATGCCGTGGATTAATATTGTACGGTGTTGATTTTTTTAGGGGTTTTCGGTTGGTGAGCGGGTGTAGACGTGCGGTGTCTATCGAGTGTCTGTGGTTGTTGACTGCCCGGTTCACGAGGGCCATCTCCTAAGGCACAACTAAAAAAAATAACGTGAATATTTTTGGTGTGATATTTTAACGTAGGTTCATGATTCTGCCTATTGTGATCCGTATCCCTACATTACCTTGGCGCTTTTTCACCGAACATCGAACCGAAACCGAACCGAATAATCGGTAGTTCGGTTTTTCGGTTCGGTTTCGGTTTCTACTTCTGTGAAGTTCGGTTTCGGGTTCGGTTTCTATGCCATGCCGAACCGAAGTATCGAGAAACCGAACCGAACCCTATTTTTTCCTGTTGTTTATCAAGACTGATGGAGTACTATGGTTTATTATTAAGAATGAACTGCAAATTTGTAATATTTGATTTGAGCATTGAATTGTTAAGTTTGTAACAGCTTTGAGTCTTCAAATAATATACTGTGCTGTGTAAGTTTGTACTGTGCTGTGTTGTCAGTTCTAAATGTTGTCTGATATTTTCTTGCATCGGTTTATTCAGTTTTAACCGAAAAACCGAACTAAAAAACCGAACCGAAATTGATCGGTTTTTGGAATTTTAGCAAACTGCTCGGGGTCATTTTCTGGAAACTGAAATTTTGGAAAACCGAACCGAACCGTCGGTTAAAACCGAACGCCCAAGCTGATCCCTACGCCCGTCCCTTGCATCGCCCGTGCGATTTGCCCCTATGGATCGGAAAGAAAATCAATCACGCAAGATCGAAAAGAAAATCACGCATGTGAGCCGGTCACGCGCAGTTCCTCTCCCGGCTCCCCGTCGTCGCCCTCACCTCCTGCCACGGTCTCGCGCCGTCCTCGCCGTCGCGGGCGGTTCTCGCCATCGCGCGGCCTGCGTCCTCGTTGTCGAGCGGCCGCCGTCGTCCTCATCCACCTCCCCGTCGTCGCCCTCAACCGCCACGGTCTCACGCCGTCTTCGCCGTCGCGGGCGGTCCTCGCCGTCGAGCGGCTGCCGTCCTCGCCGTCGAGCGGCCGCCATCATTCTCCCTCCGCGCTGCCTTCCCCTGCACAACGCGACTTGTGGTGGCTGTAGAGCCCAACGAAGACGGGGAGTAGGTTCGTCGAGATCCACCACCTCCATGCTTCCTCTCTCTCTCTCACACCGCGTCGACCTAGCCGCCGATCCACCTCTGCATGTCCGGCGGTTGCATCACCGCCAAAAACCACACACAATAATTTTTAATATTGAATGGATCATAATTGTTGCTTGTTATTTTTTAGAACTCAAATCCTTCAAATACCAGTGTCCACTGTCAATGTTTATTAATTTATTGCTCATTATTTTGAATCATTTTTTGGCAGCCTGCATTGATCTTAGAAATCATATTCTTCATGGATTCACCATAGATGCAACCATATGGTTTGGTAGGATATGGTCCTGGAAATGCAACCATATAAGATTTCAACTGCTAATTAATTAATTTGGCATCATTGGACTTCTAGTCTGAACTTTCCTAACTCAGTGTGCAAAATAAAGCAAATCTCTTTCCATCTTCATCTAAATAATGTGTTTTAGATTAGAAGATGCCTACCAGGTTGCCTCATACTGTATTGGGAAGTTCTCTGAGATGAAACTTGTGAGTTAGTTTCAGAAGATGTCTGGCTGGATGCTTTATGAATTTGTTTGACGCTACACAATAAGATTTTGGTTCCTAAAAAGAAAAATACTATCTCATGGAGATGGAATCGCTTAGTGCTGATCAAACCAAAATTCAGCATCAGTCAGCACATATTCTAGATTAAGAATTTATTTTATGGTCTTGGAAATGCAACCATATAAGATTTCAACTGTAATTTCACCATCTTTGTATGTATTCTTGCTAATTAATTAATTTGGCATCATTAGACTTCTGGTCTAAACTTTCCTAACTCAGTGTGCAAAATAAAGCAAATCTCTCTCCATCTTCATCTAAATAATGTGTTTTAGATTAGAAGATGTCTGCCAGGTTGCCTCATACTGTATTAGAAAGTTCTCTGAGATAAAACTTATGAGTTAGTTTCAGAACATGTCTGGCTGGATGCTTTATGAATTTGTTTGACTCTACACAATAAGATTTTGGTTCCTGAAAAGAAAAATACTACCTCATGGAGATGGAATCGCTTAGTGCTGACCAAACCAGAATTCAGCATCGGTAAGCACATATTCTAGATTAAGAATTTATTTTATGGAGGTGCTTAGATGTTTAATAACTCTGGTCATGATACAACTTCCTTTGTTATTATTCTATTTACTTTTTGATGAAGCAGTACTTATCTTCTGTTCTAGGGAAAATAGAGCACCACCAGCAGCATCTCCAACATCTCGAAAGTTTTCATTTAGTATCACCGCCGCTGTGATTTCTGGTTTTGATAAGCACCTATGTTTATCAGTAGTTGAGGCTGCACAGTTGTTGGAGGAGGCAAGGGCAGTTCTGGAGTAGGAGTGCGGTGCTTCTCATCCTGATACTGTTGGTGTGTACACTAATCTTGCTGGAATCTATGATGCCATGGAAAGGTCATGTCATAACGTCGTAACTTGTTCTTCTGCAATCTAGAGTCATTTTTAGCAACTAAGACAACAACACAACACTTAGCTGGTGCTTGAAAGCTCTAGCAGATATTGCTTTTGGACACACCTCTGCTGCTGCATCAGGTTGCTACTGAATTTACCTGACCATGCTTGTCTGGTTGTTTCGTTTAGCTATTTTGGGGGTGCACAGATTATACTTGCTACTAGACACCGACCATTCTTGCATTTTCATCCATAGTGCACAGATAGTTTTAGATGCACTTCCAAAGATTGTTCCTTATGTGCTCATATGAACGCCGGAGCTGTGGCCAAGTACAGTGTAAGCTACATTCTACCTGCTATGTGTTTGTTAAAATTACTGCACATAACTAGATAATAAATTAGCCCTCCTGAGTTAGAACACATGTTTGTGGCAGTTCACCCCTCCCATTAACTACCATCTCCACCACATGGTTCAATGCCATACTGTCAAGCAAGATGGCATATTCAGATTTCGTGAAATACACTAGCAAATCTGTAGTTGCTTGTATTGTGACTCTATCCTTTAAAACTTCATTCGTGTCAAGATATCAGCTATTCTATTTTTTAGTACCAAGTAGAATGAATATGAAAACTATATCCAGAAAAGGTATGCATACACAAAGATAAGTATTGAATTTGATTTAATTCAAAACATCGCTTTAGATAGTGGTTTTGGTTTTATAAAAGTACATATTTCATTGTTTTACTGGAGTGTCCAGCGTCTGCTGCCATTAGTGTTCGTAGAAAAGGTAATATGTAATGTTTGCAACTATAACCTCGGGCAGGATGCATCGAAGGTGGCCCTGGGCGAGGAGGCTGACGTAGTATGAACCTGGAAGGAGGTCAAGCCTGCAAGCAAGGTCGCTGACATCTCCAATCATGGAAGAGCAAGGATGCCCTTGCTAGGACCCAATCTATGAGCTCACAACGGTTACTGTGAGTGAAACTGAAACCTACCTCTCAAGGTACTTCTGATTTTGGTAGTAATTTTAAGAAATTAACTACAGTATGGATTGACTATTTATGATGCATTGTTTCGGTGGAGGTGAAATTTTATGATGTATTGAGCATTTAGTTTTTGAATCCACAAATTTTTCATTTAAACTCTGTATTTTATTTGTGCCATTTGAAGAAAACAATCATTGCGATTAGTATTTCCTATATGAGTTCCCAAATATTTTTTTGGCTTCTGCTAAGTGTGAAGATCATCTTTACTAACACACTAATTTTTTTAACTGTAACTCTTGCTTCAAAAGTACATATCTATATTTTCTTTATGTAGAGATAGTATTGGCATTTACTTTATGTAGAAATAGTATTGGCAATCTGCATTTTTTCCAACACAAGACCTGAAGGATCAGCAAGAGCAGTTCCTCTTTGATGAAATGCTGGCATGAACACCTGCAGGGTCGTGGTGTTCCTAGAGGGTGCTGGAAACATGCATGATATCATCCTTGATGGCTCCTTCATGCTTCTGGTGACACAACAGAGTGAGCTTTTAGCCATCTTCGTTGATCCATAAAGGCATGGTTATGAAAAATTAGGAGCACCATCCCCAGTTTTATTTGTTATATACATCAGTTAAAAAGGAAATTTGGATCACTGATAAATGGATGTGGCTTAGTGTTTTTGACACAGCTAAATACTGATTATAGAGAGCCTTTAAGTTTCATTGGAATGGATGTGATGGTATGAATGTTTTCCTTGCTAAATTGGATGGTTTGGTTGTGCAAAATAAGGTTATGCAGAGATCTATATATATTTAGTTCGGTTGGAGAGGGTGTATATTAATTTTCTCACTGTTAGATTGAAGCTTCTTAAAATACTTAGAGTAATACAAATATGCTAACCATCATATTCACTAATATGTATATAACTTCCTTTTCATTAGCTTTTATTTGTTTCATTAATTTTCATTGTCATGTCCTTATTTTTACTTGTGCAGCTATTATTATTATTATTATTATTATTATTATTATTATTATTATTATTATTATTATTATTATTACTATTATTATTATTATTATTATTACTATTACTATTACTATTATTATTATTATTATTATTATTATTATTATTATTATTATTATTATTATTATTATTATTACTATTATTATTACTATTATTATTACTATTACTATTACTATTACTATTACTATTACTATTACTATTACTATTACTATTACTATTATTATTATTATTATTATTATTATTATTATTATTATTATTATTATTATTATTATTATTATTATTATTATTATTATTATTATTATTATTATTATTATTATTATTATTATTATTATTATTATTATTCCCTTTCTGAAACTAAGGTCGCTGATTGCAACCAGCAACCTATGCAAGCTTGTCAAAATGGCAGATCATAACCAGCTATGCGGACACACTGGCGGTGTTGTCCCAATAGCCAGTGACTGTTGAGATGGTATTTTTTTGTTCAAGCACAGCATTATGAACAATTGTGGCTAGAGTTGGTGACCCCGTCATGCCATCCGTCTTCCCCATGAACCTGAGCACCGTGTCGAGTCCTAGGTGTTCAGAAGGATTGCAATTGTAATCATGAATCACATGTTTTAATCTGCTTCAAGGCAATGCAAATTATTTTTAGATTTACGCCAGCCTGCAAATTCCACGGTGAGGTATGTGGTTATGGCATTCAAATTCCAACTATGATTTGGTTTACAAGATTGATTTATTAACTAGCAGTACTTCTGCGATATTTGGGGTTAAATTTATTTTTGATTAATTCATGTATATGAAGACTAACTGATGTGCTGCTAAGGTACCAGGCTGCCGGGAAATTTTGGTTTAAATTTATTCTTATTTAATTCATGTATATGACGACTAACTGATGTGCCGCTAAGGTATCAGGCTAAGAGAAAGAGAAGATCAGTAAACCAGCAAACTCCATTAATGAAACATGCGGCAATGACCTTACTTGTCAAATTAAAATGATACTATGAAACCACTTATATTTTGACAGAAAGACAATTTTGGAAGAGAGAAATAGTAGTGCACCTCCTTCACCCTTTACCATGGTTGGCTCTAGGAAATCATCCAATGAGCCACTATACTGTTTTAACCACGTTTATAAACCCTGCTCGATGTATGTTTGAGTTGAGAATTAGTTTTTAATGCCTAATTTGGTAATGGAGTCGCTATATAATGGACTTGCATATTATGCCATGTACCCATTGTAAATATTTTTGCTTGCTACCCGTATGGGTATGTTGAAATAAAATCATGCATGGGGCTATTTCGCGTATTGTCATAATGTTAGAAAGGTAACAATACAAGTTTATAAACTCACACGAACATATGTGGTGTTCCTTCTCTAACGCATTTTTTTACTTCATCTTAAGTAGGTCCAGATTGCAATCCTGCAATGGCAAGGCGGCGGCAACACTAAGACACGAGTACACGAGCGTGGTGAGGGTGGAGCTCTGTTAGAGATGCTAACATGTGGATCATAGGGTTAAGAAGAGCGGTGTTGGTATGGAATTTGTCTTATATGAGAACAAATTAAAATCTCAGTGTATCATTTTATTACGAGGGAATTTAGACATTTGGCATCATCTACCTAGGAGCTTTTTTGTGAGAATGACATATACGTTCAAACTTAAATCATCATTGTATTATTTTGTTGGACAACATTATCGTGCGAAAAAATCCCTCGGGTCGTCTGTCGAACCCTGCGACCCCTTCCCTCCAAATGCCACTCCCAGCCGACCCCACCTCAGTGATTCTTAGAAAATGCCACTTGACAATTAGCGTCCAATCACGCTCCCTCTCCGTCCCCACGATCCCTCTCCCTCGCGCCTCCGTGCTCGCTCACGCCACCGCCTGCTCTCCCTCCCTACCGCGAAGCCGCGCTGCCACCGCAAGCCCGTGCCGAGAAGGAGAAGGCCCGCCGACGGAGCGTCGAGAAGTAGAAGGACCGCCGAGAAGGCCCTCGCTCGACGTCGTCGTTCACACCCGCGCCATCGTCCTTGCCCCGCCCCGATCAGTCGAATATTCTAAAGCCACACATATTTATACGGTGAGTATAACATACTTTGTTATTATATTTTGTGATAGATTTTTCAAGGTACGCAGTATTATCCATGTGACAGGTATTAATATTTACATATATACTCGAACCTTTGTATATGATGGTATGGAGATGCGGCGGAACTTATTCGTGGATTTATTGGCGCACGAAATAAATGGATATCGGAGATTTCTTCCTACCGATATAAAATATTATCTTAGCCGCACCACGGAAAAGTCTATACAGTAGAGTTGGTGAGCCTACGATGCCGTGCTCTTCGTGACTGTATTTATTTCACGAACTTTACTATTTGGATTAAATGTCACTTTAACATCTGTATTTAATTTCACAATATTGTTATCTTATCGTGTGATCCATGCGTTTTTAGTATAAAAATTTTGTTGTTCGTAGCAATGCACAGGACATGCTACCTAGTTGAAAACGAGATTCAAAAGTTCGCGTTCGCGTGCTGCCCGTTTGAGGTGCTTTCCCTGGATTCGATTTTTTTTCCTTTTCCACCGAAATGCTGAGTCTCCTCCAGTCCTCCTCAGTCCTCGATGGCCCCATTGAAAACGAGAAAAAATTGTGAAATACTGTAAAAGGCTGGTTCACGAGGACCAAAACGAGAAAAAACTGTGAAAGAGACTTCTCACGCAAGCGCAAGCTGGAAGACAGCTTTTTTTTATTACTTCCAAAAAGTTAATACAGTACAAGTATACGTCGTAATAATAATCCTCACGCAAATGCCCATTTGAGTACTCCTGAGTCTTAAATGAGGCCTACATTCAAATGTATAAACGGTAGTGGGCGTTCACGCATGCACCCAGTTCTCTACCACGACGCACACAACTCCCTCCGCCCCGTACTCATCCTGCTCTAGAGGCGGCGACGTCCGGACGAAACTCCCGCGTTTGCGCCCGACGCACATAGCTCCCTAGCCCCGTGCCCACCCCCTCGGTTCAAGCTCGAACTGCCACAGCGAGATGGAGGGAAGTCTACCGCGACACACACATCTCCCTCCTCCCCGTACCCATCTCACTCTGGAGGCGGCGATGTCCGGACGAAGCTCCCGCGTTTGCGCTCGACGCACACAGCTCCCTCGTCCCGTGCCCACCCCCTCAGTTCAAGCTCGAACTGCCACAGCGAGATGGAGGGAAGGGAAAGGAAGGGAGGGGAGGGAGAGGAGCGCCACGCGAGGTAGGAGGCGAAGCCCTGCGGTAAGCTGCTCTCCGCCATCCACCAATGTCGTGCAACACTCGATCTACTTTTGAAACATCGAGATGATGAAGACAGATGAAACACTTGAAACATGCGTGTATGGACATTGCAACACCAGATCAACTTTTAAAACATCCAGATTAAACATTTGAAGCAACATCTCAAACACATGAAACAATTAAAACGTAGGCTTGCAACATGTGTATATTGCTATTGCAACATATGCAACATCCTAGATTGACTTTTGCAACATTCAGATGAAACACCTGAAATATAGGTGCAACACCCATGGTGTTACGAGTTTGCTTAGCACCAAAATTTAGGACCGAGAAGGATTAGCTTCACAAGTTTTCGGGTTTTAAAAATGTATAACGCACGTGAGACGAAAAACAATCTCTAGGAACAAGGATCAAACATAACTTGTATTTAGTACTTAAATAAAAATTAAAGTACAAGTTTAGTAGATGTAAATGCAACTTTAACTTTTGGAAGATAGATGTTGTTAACTAGTATTTCGGGAGCTCAAAAATCAAATTTGACGTTAAGATAAGCTCTTTTCGTTAAGTCGGCAACACCTGAACTATTGTTAAAATACTATTTTTGGCGAATTATATTGAGCAAAATAGTTAAATGGTGCTTAAATATTTTGCTCCTACGGGTTAGTATAAGGTATGGACTATTGAATGAAGTATTTGTTGGTTGAAGTTAACAAGGTTTAGATTTATTAAAAATTTTGACAAAAGAGCATGGTGTAGGTTAAAGTTGTGTTGGATGTCACGTTGCTCTCGTAAAAATTCCCCAACTTCGTTGGAACGCGCGGTAAACCACGTGTTAGCGCTCTGTCCGTGAACTAGCGTTCAGTGCGATGAGCTCATATTGGCATCCATCTATCTCCTTTCCTGGTTGCTCTCCGATCATGGCGATGGCGTTGCTAGGTCGTTGGCAATGTGGACCTTACGATAGAGGAGTTAGTTGAACCTCAACCGTGATCGTTAGTAACTTTTGCTACGCCTCAAAATTCGTGCATGTCATCGCGCTCATCATTCGTGGCGTGTCTGCATGTCACCGCGCCGCACCTCTTTGCTTGGTTGTTCTCGCCGTGGCCATTGTTCGTTATTGGCCTCGTCGGCCACACGCATGCCGCCAGTCTCTTAAGCCCATGGTCGCCTTCGAGGGAGGGCGGGCGTGCGGTCTTTGTCTGGCCAAGCCATGCGCGGGGTCGAGCCGATGCCGCGGCAGTCGC